CCCTATGGAACGGCTTCGGCGGCGGCCCTAGGCCGTTGATGAAATCGACAATCGCCATGGTGTCCTCGTCTTTGAAGTCTTGGTAGGATTGCGGGAAGGGGCCGAAGAATCTGTGCATCCGCTTGAGGACGGTGAATTCGTACGCGTCGCTTCCCGGGCCGACCTTTTCGACCTTGGGGTTGAACAGGTGGTAGCCGCCGCCGAACACGAGGCTAAGCATTGCGGTGCCAAACGACCATATGTCGGTCGCGGTGCCCCACGGCACCTGGAACATGGCTTCGGGGCTGCGGGTGAAGGCGGCGCCGATGACGTGCCCCTCCCTCGCGAACGAGGACTCCTGGGACACCGCGCCTCCACAGTCGCCTAGCTGTATGTCGGAGAAGCGCCGATCACCATCACCCTGGCCGTGGTTGACGAAAACATTATCCAGCTTGACATCCGTGTGAACCATGCCGTCCCTGTGCAGCAGGCGAAGGACCTCGAGGATGCACCGGGCCACCTGCTTGATCTCCGGGCGAGACAGCCTCTTCCTGTTCGACTCGGTCAGGACGTCGCTATCCAGATAGCGGAGGACGATGGAGGTTGTGTCTGCCGGCTCGTCGATCTCATCGACTAGTGGGCGGAGGAATGGCGTCTTGGCCTGGTATCGCTTGAGGATGTCGGCTTCATTCTTTAGGCGCCAGTGGCCTCGGATGCTCTTGACTATGCACTTGTCACCGCTCCAGTTCCTGCCGCGCTAAGTGGTCAGCAGAATGCGCTCAGTATATGGCGCACAGCACACCCATCAATTGATTGTCTACATAAAAAGAGACGGGCGCTTAAACGTACATTGCAAGGTACACAGCCCCTTCATCGGCCGCCCTGTGCAGCTCCTTGCCGATGGTGTAGGATGAGAGACGCCCCAGCAGGACTGCATCAGTGCTGAGTAGCCGTGCCATCGGTAGATGCTCGTCGACGATGGTGTTTGTCGTCTGGGTTTCGCGACTCATCGTGTGTGATGTTTTGGGAGTTGGAGGTTGGCGCTTGGTCCAGACGTTTAGCTCTGGGGTAAATCTATTGGTCGGAATTTTTCCACCAGAAATCCGGGGGCCCATAGAGCGCAGGTTGTCACGCTGGGCCGGCGCGGCCCGGAGGAGAACAGCGCTGCAACCAATTCGTTTACCTCGTTGGCACCAAGACAGTTTTCTATCAATCACGGTAGACGCGTGCAAGTTACCTTTACACCAGATAATCAAATGACGCAGCCGATCCGCAGAAGCCTCAGCGTCGAGGCGTTAGCTTCAATCGAGTCCGTGCAGTCAATGGCCGCAGCGACGACTTCTCCCACATCGGCAGTCGGCAGCGATCTTATCTCGTTGCAGCGATGGCTGCTTACCCCGAATTCTTATATGACCACCTCCAACGATCGCCCCCTCAGCGACGTCACCACGAAGTCCGGGCCATTGTCAGGATAGACTGTACATCTGTTGACTTTGTTCTTATCCAGATAGACAGAGTCATTCATTCATTATTCCCTACCCGGGCAATCACAGCAGTGCAAGGCAAAAGTCAAGGTTCTCATGATGGGTAAGAAGCGCGTTCTCATCAGCTATGGAGTAGACGTGGACGCAGTGGCAGGATGGCTGGGTTCTTACGGCGGAGAAGATTCGTCAAACGATATCAGCAGAGGTATGATTCCATTACCGAGGTATGGGACCATTGTTCTGACTTGAAACCAGGAATATTCGCCGGTACTGTCGGCACGCAGAGGTTGCTAAAGTTGTTCGCAAAGTACGACATCAAGACAACCTGGTTTATCCCGGGCCACAGCCTCGAGACTTTCCCGGAGGACATGAAAGCCGTTAGAGATGCCGGGCACGAGATTGGCCTCCACGGGTACTCGCACGAGAACCCGACCGACATGACCATCAAGCAGCAACGGGAGGTGCTCGACAAGACTTACAGAATGCTCACCGAGTTTACGGGAAAGCCGCCCAGGGGAAGCGTAGCCCCGTGGTGGGAGACGAGCCGCGAGGGCGCACAGCTTCTGCTAGACTACGGCATCGAGTACGACCATTCCATGGCTCACCACGACTGCCAGGCCTACTACCTCCCCGTGGGCGAGTCGTGGGCGAGTCGTGGACCAAGATTGATTACAAAAAGAAGGCGGGCGAGTGGATGAAGCCACTCGAGCATGGCCAGGATACGGGACTCGTCGAGATTCCCACCAACTGGTACCTAGACGACCTGCCGCCGATGATGTTTATTAAGGCCGCCGCCAACAGCCATGGCTTCGTCAATGCGCGTGACGTGGAGGATATCTGGAGGGACCACTTTGACTATTTCTACCGCGAGTACGATGAGTTCATCTTCCCTATTACCATCCACCCGGACGTGTCTGGGAGGCCGCATGCACTCCTCATGCACGAGAGGTAAGCCAGCTTGAACTACTTCGATAGCACGCACCCATTGGAAAAGCGCTAACCTCTACAGACTAATTGAACACTTCAAGAAGCATGAGGGTGTGGAATTTGTGACTATGGAGCAGATGGCGGACGATTTCAAGAGCAAGAACAAGCCTGCTCCAGGTGCCCTGATGCCAGCAGCGCCTGGCGCCATGTTGAAGAAATGATGATGTTGTCATCAACGTATTATCGCGAATACCATTGTCTTTGCTCTCGTTCAGAACATATTCAACTCCAAAATCGCCCAGTCGTCAAGTCGCCAGCCGCTGTGCTGGAAACCTAGCCAGAGAGTTACGTCGAGAGTACCGGGAACATCCTTTTACGTTCGACTTGTCGAGACGAGTCGGCCTCTGATGCTGTCTTATCGTGAGTCATATACTCCTGTTCCATCAAGGTTTGAACTGGCTTGGGATTGACCGCGTCATGTCAGTCCAAACATTAGAACACCGCAACGAATGTCCACTGGAACGAAGCATGCTACGGCAATGCACAACAAGCTTTCCACCCGCAGTCTCGTCCAGAACTTGCGCCTCGCGCCCCGGAGCCTCTTTTCTTCATGCTTCGTCTAAGCTCGCCAGTAGCAGGTAGGACACGTTACCATTTGCAACTTTGTCATATGAGAGGGACATATTTCTTCTCTTTTCCCCAGTTCTCTCCTTCGACACTCGCGCACAACCTTTTGCACGAGCAACCCCAAACCCACAGTTCAGAAAAGGAACAACCCCTTCGATGCAACAATATCATGCCTCTGCTAGGAAGGAAAGACTTGGCTCCAGGCACCGCCCGAACGCCCCGGCCTACCAGGCACAACGGAAGTCAGAAGGCGAGGTCGGGCGTGGCCGTCACCATGGACGACCTTCCTGCCGAGCTACTCCTGGACGTCTTCGCCCTTTGCTCACCAGGCGCAGTTTTCAATCTGATATCAGCATCGCCAAAGGCCCTCGCTGTCTTCCGGGCGTATCGCCCCGACCTGATACGCAACCTTATCGTTCAGCTCAGGGACCTCCTCGGCTTTCCCAAGGTCGACCCAAAGGACCATACCGCCGTTACTCGGCTGTTGCCGTACGCATCTCCCCAGGAGTTGATAAGCGATGTTTCCCTTGTCGATGTTCCCTTCATCATATGAGAAGTCTTTGGATTTCGTTCGGATTGCACATTCTACGATCCTGTCCCCGAGCCTCATTTTCCAACCAAGGCCTTTCCATTCTCGAATCCTACGAGGCCACCTGCAGAAGATGTTATGGAAGACATTATAGAACGCGGGTTACTGTCCCGACGGTGCCCTGCGGCATGGCTTAGTTCCTCGTTCCCGGCAAGCCTCCCCGACTTTGACGTGCTCTTTAACCTGGCGAAAAGCTTGGAGCTTCCTTTGTGGAAGAGGGATTGCGGCTTCTTCCGGCGTTTACTTCTCCCCTTAACCCGCACTGGGTCTGCCGTTCGTGGCATAACACGATGATATACATGCTGGCACTTGGTTGGAGGTCTCTCTCTGAGGATATTGACCGCGACCCCGTGTGGGAGTGGTTGCCTAGGAGTCCTCATGAGTTCTACTCCGGCGGTCCCACTCACCGCATGTTCCTCTTTTTCCACCGACTCAGGGACCTCCAGATCCGCATATACGATCCTGCCGGAGTCTGCAAACGGGCCCTGGGCCGAGGCTGGGTCTCGGGGGCGGCCGGGCCGCTTTCATCCAGCGAAGGCATACCCCTCATCCAGTTCGTCCCCAGGGAACAACGCCGTCGCAGCTGGAGACCACAGCGTGAGAGTCGAAGAAAGGAGAGGTATAAGCCGCCCACTAACACAGATCTGGACTTTGAGCCAAAGTTCCCCGACGGACTCGAACTGTTCAAACAACACAACTGGGAAGGCCCTTCCCTGCCAGGAGAGCCGAGGCGCCCTCGCCGAACATCTCCTCGCTATGGCCTGAGACGAGTATTGGAGCATCGCACTCGGTAAACGACGGAGGCAGCCTAAGAGACTGAGCTCTTACCGATATCTAATGTCGCGCCTGCGGCCAGCCCCCGGCGCTTCTCGAGATTTTTGCTTGTGGGCGTGGTTCGACGAGATTTCTGCTTGTGGGCGTCGTTTTGGACGTATGGCTTAATTGACCAGTACCTCGCACCTTAATGTAGCCCGCATACACCAGCTGAACGTCAACACGATAACGATCTTGCTTTTGAGTACAACGGCCGGATACCGGCGATCCGCTCAGCATGACCAGACTACCCTGTCACCAATCTAACAACACTGGACAACAAGGGAGATTCCTCACAATGCCAATGACACCTGATAGCGCTTCGGCAGGTGCCAATCCCATTGGACGCAACCGCACTCAGCATCGTCGACATTGCAAGTGCCCAGCCTTTTCTCACATTTATCGGAGTGCCATACACGCGCACACTCCATCACGAACACCAACCAAATCTGGAAGGATACCAACTGAGTCGCCCACCCGAATGCCAGTCTGGCTGCGGGCTGACCGAAAGGAAGCACGACTCGCGGGCGTTCCCACATAGTAGCCATCTGTCCTCCACCCGTCATCAAGCAAAGGTCAAGGGGGGTGTAGCTCATCTGGTAGAGCGCGTGCTTAGCATTTCCGCCCCGACGAGTCATTGTTCAGGTTTACATGTTACCTGCACGAGGTACTGGGTTCGACTCCCAGCTCCTCCACTGTTTCGTTTTGCATGTTTTTACTCTGGAGGGGATCTGCAATTTGTGCAGGAAGGTGAGGTATCTAAAGAGATGTCGCACGTCTTGATGGGTCGCCTGCAAGGGCGAAGATATGGAAACGAGGCATGCATCACCGGCTGTCTGTCCATCAGCAGTAACGGGGACGCTACCGATGCAACCCTGAGGAATAGCCCCCCTGAACACTGTCAACCGACCCACATCAGCGGCAACACGAATTCGGGGGGAAGCAGGAGGGTAATGACTGGTTGTTGGAGTCTTGGTGGCGCGTCGGTGTGTCTACTTCTGGGCCGGCACGTAGGGCTAGAAAGGTATAATCTACCACGCACAGCACATAAGTAAGGTAGACAGGCGCTGTGTAGAACAACAATTACACTGGTGGTGGCTTAGAAATCGAGGTGGTTGATGCTTTGACGACCGGAAAGGGAGCTCCTGAAGCGGGGCCCTGTGATTGGTCAATGGCCTGTCAATCACAGCTCAAGCTCACCAAGGCGTCACCTTGTCGTCATGACGCTGCCAATCCTCAAGCTCAACCCCATAAATCCTCAGAGCTGCACCTCACTGTTAAATAAGCTGTCCTCTTCGAGCTTTGATTGTCCTCTTGGCCTTCTGAAGTCATGATATCACCTACCGCTTCTCGAGCATTTACCTCCAACAACGCCAGGATACTCACCAGAGCACTTCCACTTCTTGGTTTTACACAGCTTCGTCTCCCACAGCCTATCTGCAGCTCTCAGTCCTTCCATATCAAACCAGCTACCAAGCTCAACAGCCTCAACCAAACAAGAACCATGTCTTCCAAACCCGGCGTCGCCAGCCACAATGACCTCAACCGCAACTCCCTCTTCAACATGAAGGGCAAGGTGGCCTTCGTGACCGGTTAGTCTTTCCCCCACCACCAACATCGTTCCACCCAGATGCTGACAAAGTCACCAACAGGAGGCGGCTCAGGCATAGGCCTAATGGCAACCCAAGCCCTAGCCGTAAACGGCGCAAAGGTGTACATAACCGGCCGCACCCAGTCCAAACTCGACACAGTAGTCAGCACCTACGGCAAGGACATCGAGGGCTCCATCGTCGCCCTGCAAGGGGACGTGACATCAAAGGAAGACATCGCCCGCCTCGCGAAAGAAATCTCCTCCAAGGAAAACGGTGTCTTGCACATCCTCGTCAACAACGCCGGCGTGTCGGGCGACACGGTCTCCACCGAGTCCTCCTCCGCCCAGGAGATGAAGGCCAACCTGTTCGACGCTGAGGCGGCGACCTTCGACGACTGGACGAGCACCTACAAGACCAACGTCGCTAGCGTGTACTTCGTCACGGCCGCCTTTTTACCCTTGCTGCAGAAGTCGAGCGACGTTACACCGGGCTGGTCGGGAACGGTGATCAACACGTCGTCTATTTCGGGTTTGGTGAAGTCGGCGCAGCACCACTTCTCCTACAACGCGAGCAAGGCGGCGACGATCCACCTGAACAGGATGCTGGCGGCCGAGATCGCGGAGCAGGGGTTGAAGGTGCGGGTCAACACGATCGCGCCGGGCGTGTTCCCGAGCGAGATGACGGCGGACGAGAGCGACGAGGCGCAAAAGAGTGAGCTGAGCAAGGATAAGTATAAAGATAAGGTGCCTGCGGCGAGGCCGGGGAATGATATCGATATGGCGCAGACGGTGCTGTTCTTTGCGAATAACCAGTACTTGAACGGGCAGGTTGTGGCGGTTGATGGGGGATATACGATTCGTGCTGGGGAGTAGTAAGCGATCGTATAAGGCGGAGGATAGGTTTGAGGAAGAGAATCAAGAAATTATGAGGGGACGGAGGCAATTGTGTATTTTAAGAGCAGCAACGTGGAATGATCCAGTCTCCAACAGAGTCTCCTTTCGCAGCTCGTCGTGATACGTTTTGAACCCTATTACATTCCAGGTTACTCATTCCTGTGCCGTATGTATAGCATTCCAGTGTTCGTGTCTCAATCCCCTGTTGTTATGTACATGCCGCCGCTCCCTTGTTCTCAATTAAAATTCTCCTATCTTATCGCCATCCCCCGTTCCCTCACATTCTTTCCAAACCGCGAAATAAGCTTTTGGCATGATGTCATGCCGCCGCAGCGCTACATTTCTACCCGCAGCAGGCCAGCAGCCAACGCTAGCGGGCCGTCCTTGCTTGCCTGCCGTCGCCAGGATGCTCCAGGGGACCCATGTAGCGCCACGCCCGCTGATGAACTGTGGATGGGATGGGGCAAGCAGATCTTGGGGAAGATCTGAGGTTCTTTGCGGATCGTAGGGCTGAAGAAGCACAGCACACATGGAATATGGACTTGGCTTGTATGCAGGATTTGACTTCACTGTTGATGCAAGGCGGATATCGTTTGTTTTTGTAATATCAGCAAATTTTTTTTTTGGTTTGACCGAAGCCATTGAATTCTGTTTCTGTCTGTCAAAGGAGTTTCGCTGAGCTGAGCTGAGATGAGCTGAACAAGCGCAAAACACAGACTAAACTGATGGCCCTGCTTGAGTTGCGTCCATTACAGGCGTAGCGATCCCGCTGCCAAAAAGCCATCGCTGAAGCGAAGAAGATACATAAGAAACAGCCGTAAGGGGCATGTACCATGTTCCGCATCCATCACAGTAGTCATCATCGTGACCCAAGCCAATCCAATCCAATCTGCCTTGCCTGCCTGCCCGTCCGCCCGTAAAAACAACGTCCAAGGGGTATAGTAGGGGTATCTTCCTCATGCTGTAAATCCGTATCCATTCATAAAACCGGTAATTAGCACTCCGTATCCCAACCATTGACAAAAAAGTGCTGTGATGTGCTCTGTCCAGTCCAAATCTTGCCCCCAAAACTCCGGTGTAAAAAATGCAAAACATGTGGCATGGTGTCGTGACAATCTTGTCTGTGACGGGAAGGGGGGGTATAACACTATAACGCCGTGGGGAAGGGGAGAATACCCAAAGCCAATACATGATGATCATAAGCCATAAGAAAGCCGTGAGATAGGAAAAATAAACACCAGAACGCTAATGTGGAGTGGAGTGGCAACAGAGAACAAAGTCCGCTGGAAAGAGGCAATCGCATGTTGCGTGGGGCTTGACGACCGCCGGTGGTTGTGGTGACTGTGTGTGGTGTCGCGCTCCGGGTATCATAGAATGGAAAGCCCAAGACACCGGAAGATGAACCAGTAGAAATCGAGTAAGTCGTGAGAATCCGTGAATGCCGACATGGAGGTCGATGCGTGACGCAAGAGTCGGATACCGCGGGGGGGGGATGGCCTAGGTTAGGTCATGTCCGCCCGGCGAGATATTGGACAAGGATGCCCAGCCATACTCGGCAAAAGAGAACCCGTCTACTCCGTGAGGCCTGCAGAGCATCTCCTCGACACTCTGCCTAGTAGCGCGCCGCTCGCGCTTACACCTTGACCCAGCGCTCATCAAGCCAGCCGACATTATCAAACGCAGTCCACAGCTTCGATGCCTTGTTGACATCGATCTTGCAGGCCTGCTGCGCGTCCGTCTTGCGGAAGGCCTTCGGCGGCGTGCGCATGAGGCAGTCCCGCCGGCTGATGAAGATGCGCCTCTTGCTGGTCAGGTAGGTGGCGCAGTCCAGGCGCAGGAGGGAGGCGAGCTTCAGTTCCTCGGGCAGGAGTAGGTGACGGTTCGGGTCGTTGGTGAGATCCATAAGCCCACCCTTCCACTCGACCTTCAGGCTCCTGTTACCCAGCGACGACAGCGGCGGCGAGAAGTCCGGGAGGGAGTTGAAGTCCTTGTCCTCCTTGCTGACCGGCTTCAGGTGCGATCGGCCGGGGTCGGGGGTCGAGCTCATGCGCTTGGCCGAGCGCTTTGTCTCCGGGTTTGTTTGAGCGTGGCGTGGGGTAGCCTGTGACTTGGTTACGCGGGGCTCATTGCCCTTGGTGCTCTGAACTCGATCATTGTTGCTGCGGATATGCTGTTGCTTCGCCGGCTGCGGCTGCACGTTCCGGGGTTTGAAAGCGGGCTTGATGTGATGTTGAGTACTTGGGCGAGCCTTGCGGTCGGCGGCGAGCAGTGCCCTCTCCCTCTGCAGCCACCCTTTACGATTGGCCTGGAAGTGCTTCATGACGTTGGACTTGAAGTAGAGGACCTCCCTGTACTCTTCGTCTGTTGGTTGCGGAGTCGCACTGGATGCACCCTTCGCAAGTCTATGACTCTGTATGACCATACCCAGGGCATCTCTCTCCACGGGACAGAAGAGCAGCTGGGACCCAGATGAGCTGGCCGTGGTCTCCTCGGCCGGGTATAAGATGGGGTCCTTCACCGAGACGCTGAGTGACGGTGTCGGGCTGAAATCGTGCTTCACCTGCTCGAGTGGCGAGTCCGATTGGTTAGAGATTGGCGGTGATGGCGGCACACCCTGCTGAGTCGACAACTTCGAATCCAAAGGCTTAGTGGGCAGGATGCGAGCCATTGCGCTCGACGAGAAGGAGTCGTAGACGGCTTCAGGAGGCGAGATCAGCGTGCTGATATCAAGACGAGCTGGCTTTGGCCCTTGAGCCATCCGAGGAGTTGTCGACATGGTCGTCATCCCGTTGCGGTCTCGGGTCGGGGTGGTGGGTTGAAATGACTCGGTAAGACCCTTTGACATTCCGTCGCGAGTTGGAAATAATGAACCTGGAGTCGATTGAGAGCGAGGTAGGTTGTTGAGTGTGTGATCGTTCGACGTGGGGGACATTGTGGTTTTAATAGAGACGCACCGCTCTGGGTGGCGAGGACCAGGCAGCAGACGCGATTGACTAATTGAGTTTCGCTGCGGATGACGAATAATCGACGCCAATTGCTCGGAGGTAGCTGGATATAGGATGCAAGTAGAACCCAATTCCCGGAGATAGTGTCGATTGCTCCGCAAGCTAGAGTAGACGGAGAGATAAAGATGTGCTCAGCCGAAGGTTGTCCCAGTTGAGGTGGGAGGGTTGTGTAAGTGTTGTGTTTCGGGGAGAAATGTGGAAATGG